AAATTTATAAAAATTAAAAAAATAATTTATAAATTTTTAATTTAATCTAGATTTAGATTAGAGGGTTTAATTTTATATTAAAATTTTTATAATTGAATATCTTAAATTTTTCAAATGCACTCTGCAGAATCCAGATATAATATTTGGACTGCATACAGTGCATCTGAATAATTAATATGCATTAATCATAAAAATTTTAATATTAAATTAGACTATCTAAATTAAATCTAGATTAAATTATTTTATAATTTTTATAAATTTTTATTTTAATAAATTAATATAAAATAATAGTTTAAATCTGTATCGATTAAATAAAAATGTAAATGATTTAAATTTCATCTTTTGAATGAGCACGAGCAGGAAAACCTTTGCCCAGAGTATGAATGTTGCTGCATCAAAAATAATGAAAGTAATTAATAATTACAATTATAAATTGAATATGGCAATGACAAGCGCGCGTGGACGGTGAGGCAGGTATATTAATTATACAGATATGAATTGACGGTATCCGCCACCCACATTTTGTTGCCCACTTGACCTGCTTAAAGGACCTTATCTTCAATTACCAACTTCCGTATTTAAGGATATCCCGTCTATTATTGCTTTTCCAACTTGCTCCAATCTATCATTTCTCTTAAATTGATATTGATACTCCCTCTATTTTCATTTAAACATTTATTTTACCTATTTCTCAGGAATTAAGAAAATTAGCTATATTAGTTTTAAGTAATAAATTTTGTCAATAATTTACATTGTCTTGCCAACAATGCCCTCATGTAGAGTAATGTTGGGGTACCTCCATTGATAAAGACACTTTTGTCCCAAAAAAAAAAAAAAGTAAATACATTAGACAATTTAAATGGAGCCTTATGCTAAGAAAAAGAAAGCAAACTTGTCAATCTGTGCTTAGAAACAAAGGGAGTGGTCTGCATCAAAATATCAACCAAAAAAATAAAATAAAAAAATACAATTGTTATAATTTATTTATTACTTTTACCCATATACATACACTCCTATATTAAATACATTTTATCACATATTATATAATCTGAAAAAATAGTCATATTGTTTGTAATTTAAAATGACAGGCTTGCTATGATATCTATAAATTGGATTGATTTTTTCATATAGTCGTTAATTCAACTTTTAAATCTTGAAAAACATTTTTTTAGTTTGGATACAATCTAGTTAACAAAAGTATGAAAAAAATATTTAAAAAAGCATGTCTCAGCTTGCAAAAAGTTTCATTTTTCCATTAAAATATACGTATTAAAAAGCAACCTTTATATATATATATATATATATATATTATTAGGTCAATTTTAGTTAAATTTAAATATTGTTGGATCTGACTATGAATAACATCTACAGCTAAAAAAATTCTCTATCAATTATAATCAATACTAACAACACTATGAATTTGAACACACTGTTACTTATTCATCATAATGGCTATTTGTGGACTGTCTTTTGTGTCTAGATATCTCTTGGTTGACCGAACATATCAATATTTACGAGTCAATTGCTCATTAGACTACGGTCGATTTTCTCCTTTCAAGTGATATCCATGATATCCATCTTATTGGATTTCATGATTGCATCGGTTAGGTCTATTTGTAGGATGCAATTGTGTTTTCTGCCTATGATTTATTGTGCAGCTAATATATACACTTATCCATTTATCTATCTATAAAAATAAAGCTACAAGCTTGTTTTTGTTTAAGTTATGTGGCTGCTTATGGTTGAATCAAGTGGCTTAATTGGAGACAAGTAGTGGTTATGTTTTTATATTGATATTTGCTACTTGTGTGCAATCTGAGAGTAAAAAAATTGTCTTTAATTGAGTCACATGGTTGATTTACTCAATTATTGACAATAAAATAGCTCAACGTAGCTCAATAAGAGACATGAGCATACTCGTAAGTATCCTTTCATTAAAGGTAATTTTTTTAAGACATAATTGAGTATTAAATATAAGCATATCTTTCAAGGAGGATTTGAATATTTGGTTTGCTGCATTATGAGAGACTAAGATTATGACTTATATTTTAAAAAAATTACACCTAGGTTTTACATGAGAGAATTTATTATCAATAGGTCTCATAAAATTGACAAAATACCCTCAAATTTTAAATCTTATGTGTTTATAATTTGACTAAGAACATTTACAATTGGGTAACATGCATTTGCAACTCGCAAAGGAAAATGACAATTTAAAATAGCAAGTTATAAATTCTCATTGTTCAATTATAAATGCTTTTAACTAAATTATAAATACACAACATGTTAGATTTGAGAGTATTTTATGAATTTTATGAGATATTTTGTTAATAAATTCTCTTTTTTGGGATCTAAGTATAATTTTTTCTTTTATTTTTACAGGGATACGAGCATGAGTAAAATTTACGCACATTAATAAGATTGCGAGGAAATAAGAATTTGTTTTAAACAAACTTCACAGCTAATAGATGAACATAAAAAATAAGAAAAATGATAATAATTTTTTTTGAAATATATAAATAATAATTTGGTCCCTTAAAATGTCATAATTTTTCTCAAAATTTTTAAAAAATTTTCTATTATTAATAAATTTATATAAATTATTAAATTTTCCTTATTAAAAAAATAATTCATAATTTTTTTTTATATTTGCAACTTTTCTTCTTAGATTTGCAATAATGTAACATTAAATTATAATTTCATATGTTAAATTCCTTATTTATTGTTGCATTACTGTGAATATAAAAAAAAATTTATGAATGTAAGAAAAAAAGTTGTAAATCATTTATTTTCAATAAGAGTAATTTTGTAATTTATATAAATTCATTAATGATAAAAATTTTTTTAGAGACTTTAAGAGAATTATTGCATTTTGGTAGATCAAATTGTTATTTATATATTTTATAGAGATTTTATTGTCAATTTTTCTAAAAAAATAAGAGTATAAGTAGAAATAATATCATTAATTTTTATTATATTTTTATAGTTATCGTTTAATAGTATTTTTTTTATTTTCTAAACAAAATCTGATTCCTCCTTTTCTTTTTTATTTTATTTTCAAGTTATATGATAAATTGCTGGAGTCACTCCTGTTTGAATAAGAAAAAATAGGTAATTAAATTTATACATGCAATGTATTTTAAAATTAAATCTTGGACATTAAGTTATTTTTTTTTGGACAAGAACATGGTGTAATTTTGTATCCCTAATTTGTATTGGGGCTTTAATATTAATGTTTTGGTTTGTTTTAAAATTTGTAATCCACTCGAAATTTTATTTGAGAAGATATATTGAATATAGTCACGATTATTCAAATTTTATCCAAAAAAAAAATATCCCATGAAGACACAAAATCCCATGCTAATTTAAATTAATATAACAATTTGTTGCATCAAAAATTTACAAAACTTTTCATTGATAAGATAGAAAAGTAAAATGTCTTCGACACCAAAATCCTAGCCATCAAAACTGGTTTGGAAATTTGCTTTCAGCTTAAGCTTGACAAAGTGTAGATTCACTCTAAATCCTTCGACACTATTAATCTGTTTAAATTTGATGCTACCCAAAGTACTATTTTCTTGATGAGATCTCTTTCATTAGAGATTGCTTATTTTTCAAGGAGGGAGTGAAGCTATTTCATGCCACCAGAGTTGCATCAAGCTCTGATACGTTTTTGGTACTTCATGTACTTGCTAGTTGTCGAAGCATGTGTCTCAGGGATAAACACTATACTCTCTTTGATCTTATCTATGAGGTAGAGATTTTTTTTTTAATAAATTATATCATTAAATTTTATTATAAATTTTTTTTACTCTCCATTAAATATTAAGAAGAAAAAAATATGTTAGTGAAGTATGTATATTTAATAACAGTAAAGTTAAAAATTTATTAAATTTTAAGATAAAGTTAATAAATTTTAAAATTTTCATTAATATTAATAAAATATGTTAAAAGTGATTTATAAATAAAACCAGAGCAATATATGGACTATGGTAATCCTTTTTGATTTTGTTTCTTCTAACTTTTGCTAGCTTACTGTATTTAAAAAAAATGTTGACTACTTTTTTCATATCTTTGCTGCTCTTTTTGCTATGACACATGCAGTTTATATTGTTTAAAATAACTAGTTTAAATGTTTTCATTGATAAGATAGAAAAGTAAAAATGTTTCCCATGCCGAAATCATAGCCATCAAAACTAGTTTGGAAATTTGTCCACAACTTAAGCTTGATAAAGTGTATTTTCACTCTAACTCTTTTTTCTCTTTTTTTTCTTTTTTTTTTTGGGTCAGAACTCTAGCTCCTTCAATACCATAAGTTTACTTAAATTTGATTCTACCCTAAAGCACCATCTTTGTGACGAGATCTCTACAAGAGATTGCGTATTTTTCACACCACTAGGGATGTCATTAAGATAGATGCTCTTATACGTTCTTGGCACATCATGTACTTGCTAGTTGTCGAAGCATGTATCTTAGGGATAAATGCTATGCTTAATAAGCTTTTACTTGCCCGTATTTCAAAAAAATGTTGGCTACTTTTTTAATCTCTTTGCTACTTTTCTGGCATCACGCATGCAATTTATATTGTTTAAAATAATTATTTAAAATTTAATATTTTGTAAACATATTATCTACATAAGAATTAATTAATTTTCATAAAAAAACATATTAATTTTTTATTAATAAATGAATATAATTTATTAAAACTTAGAGAAAATAGAAGGTTCTAAATGATTAAATTAATTATAATCAGATTTGAATAATTTTTTAAAAAATAAATTGTAATTATAGAAATTTTAATTATAAATAAAATATTTAAATTTTATGCATAACTTATTTTATAATTAGAATTATTATTTATAATAATATGAATTGATATTTGTAATTTATTTTTTTAATGGAAAAGACAAGCAATGTGATAAACAGTAACATTGTAATAAAGAAATAATCATATAATAATGCAATAACGAAGAATGGGAGGAAAGAAATCATTGCAGTTTCTGCTCCGTGGACTTTCTTACACTGAGTTTCAAGACTGCACGAAACCATCAATTGCGTGATTATTGACGAAGGAGAAATCGGGACACCGCCACCACTTTCTAGTTACCGAGTACGGAAATCCAGCGACAGTAGTTATCATCTAATGGCCACGAAGAACGGCGGATCCGCCACGGCACCGCCTCGTCCGACGATCACTCTCCCACCTCGGCCTTCCATGGAGGCCTTCTTCTCCGGGGGGCCAGGCGCAAGCCCTGGTCCGATGACACTCGTATCCAGCTTCTTCACGGATAATTACCCTGACTCTGACTTTCGGTCCTTTTCTCAGTTACTCGCCGGAGCTATGGCTTCTCCGCTTGCTCTCGGTGCGAGGCCCAGCTTGTTCCCGGAAAATTCCACGGACAATTCCTCCAAAGAAGCTACTGCTGAGGATCGGGGCCAGAAGAATTCGGGTTTTAAGCAGAGTAGACCCATGAATCTGGTTATTGCGCGTTCACCATTGTTCACCGTTCCACCTGGGTTCAGCCCTTCTGGGTTGCTTAACTCACCGGGTTTCTTTCAGCCGCAGGTAATTTAATGGATTGACTTTTGCAATTGAGCTTCTTTTCCCTTCAATTTCGGGGCTAACATTTATGGGATTCTGTTTATGAACTTGGTAGCTTATTTCTATTAGAAAACCGCATCACTCTAGGTTTATTTTATAGCTGCTTTAAATGGTTGTTCATTGATGCTTATTCCTGGACATATATGGCCTTTTTTTAAAATAAAAAAATAAATTCGATTAAATTTGACAGCTTGATATCTACTTTTGTCTCAAAAAATACATCATCCCCTGCATGTTGAATTGCTTCCTCAAATTGTTGTTCGTTGCTGCATATGATTGGACAGATAATATATTTGTTTTCGGGAAATTGAAATTTAATTAGTATGGAGAATGGCGAACTGCAGTTTCTTAGCTCTATGGTTCATTGATGTCATTGTTATTATTCTGAAAGTGGAGTTTCTGCACTATAGCATACTCATATTTTATTAACGGCGTGGTATTTAGTATTTACAGTCAAGAAGTGATCTTCAGGAATTTTATTTAATTGCTCCAAGTAGTTTCACTAAATTCATAATATCCTTTTGTGACATGGTATACGGTAATAATTATGTGATCTAGATTCCAGAGCAAAAGAGAAAATGATTAGAGAAACCTTTAATCCTATTAAGGGAATTGTAATTTTTTTTTTTTTACTTTTTTTTTTAAATTCTTTTCCCTTATGCTTGACTAGCTTCAGGTGACAAAGGAATTGTAATTGGGAGTCTTGACGCTGACTGGAAACTGAAAAAAGTCTATAATCACCCCCTTTTTGAAGTTCAGTAGAAGAAAGTGATAGAATTGATTAGTTCGCCAGCCAGTTTAATGAATGCTCACTTTGGCAACGAAAATTTGGAGATGAAAAGTTCAAGATTGCAATTTTTTTCTTCTAAAAGCTTGTTTGCTTGAAAATGACTAGAAAATGCAGAAAAATTTTAGGATTTGAGTCAATAACTGGAATTGCTTATCTTATGACAATAATGGTTATTTGTACTTCTTCCTATGCCATTCTAATTCTCAATGATCTTTGTTGAATTTTGCAACTAAACATGGTAATTCAGATCTGTCTTCCTCCTATGATTTTTTTTTTTTTTGAGTTTTCTTCATGGTAAAACTTGTTGCACTGAATAAGTTGTTCCATAGAAGACGTTAAAGTCCATGGAAGAGATGTCTGGCCTGCATAGGATTGACTGTGGATAAATGTGCAACCGTGCAGGATAATGTGTAACATGGCATGTCTGCTTGTCACGCTATTGGGCATTTTTTCCTGCTGTTATGCATCCATGTGATATTTTCTTGTGGGCAGTGGAACCACTCGTGTGTGCTCATGCAAGCTTTTGCATATTCACATACTTATATTGGCCCAAGGATGGATCATATATTTTCATGTGTCTTATTGTCTCTTAAATTTCAAAATATATACAGAGCCCCTTTGGGATGTCCCATCAGCAGGCTTTGGCACAGGTTCAGGCTCAAGCTGCCTTGGCACAATCTCATTTGCATATGCAAGGTGATCATCAACAATCTGCCATTACAGCTGCTGGTGAACCATTGATAGTACAGCAGGCATCTTTTGTTCCAAGTGAAGCTTCAGACCAGCAAGTGGCACCATCTGCATCAGATTCTAGAAGTGCTCAAATGGAGACTTCAGATATTTCTCACACTGATAAGAAATATCAACTGTCTTCCTTAGCCATTGATAAACCTGCAGATGATGGCTACAATTGGCGTAAGTATGGGCAGAAGCAGGTTAAAGGGAGTGAGTACCCACGGAGCTACTACAAGTGTACACATCTGAATTGCCCTGTAAAGAAGAAGGTTGAGCGTGCTCCTGATGGGCACATTATTGAAATTATATATAAAGGCCAGCATAATCATGAACTGCCTCAGCCAAACAAGCGTACTAAAGATAATTCTGATTTAAATGGAAATACAAACATTCAAGTTCAGTCTGACTCGACTACACAAGGCTGGGTGGGAAATTTAAAGAAGTTTGGTGAAAGTGTGCCTGATCATTCAGTGCCAGAGAGTGATCCCTCATCTAATCAAGGTGCTCACAGGCAACTAACTGGATCAAGTGAGAGTGAGGAAGGGGGTGGTGGTGATATAAGGGAAGAGGAGGGAGACGTCAGTGAGCCAAACCCCAAGAGAAGGCAAGTTTCTCCTTTTTAATCCCACATCACATAGCTATATATTGTGCTAATTCATTACGTAAACTGAATATTGCAGGAACACTGATCCTGTGACTTCTGAAGCACCTGTGTCTCACAAGACTGTTACAGAACCCAAAATCATTGTGCAAACAAGAAGTGAAGTTGATCTTCTGGATGATGGCTACAGGTGGCGCAAGTATGGGCAAAAAGTGGTAAAAGGAAATCCCTATCCAAGGTGACCACTTGATCTATTGGTTCATATTTTCTCAAAATTTAAAGAAAGAAATGATTCTAACAAGTTACAATGTTGAAATCATATTAAGTGAGGAATAGTTTCATGTTCTTTGGTTACAGTGTAGTCTCTGAAGTTAATAAAAAATGAAGGAACCTTTTGTTCATTTACAGTATCTTCTTATAAGGTCAAACTTCAGAAACATTACCGAATGATTAGGTGGCATAAAATGGACTTATCTGGATAAGGTGATTCAGCATAACTGAGACACAATAAGTTTTGGTTTGGTTTTCTGACAAAGAATTAAGTTATTCTTATGTTAAATAGCAATATAACCTCTGGCACCAGCTTGCATGTTAGAAATTGCAACATCTATGAAGCTCTCTCTTGCAGCCTACGGCATGCATTTTTTAAAATGATTCAGTTACAACATCATAAGCTAGGTTTGGGAAATTTAGATATTAGACATGTAATATTATTCTTCCATTGATTTTCTGGTCTTAGTTAGCTTAAGCTCAGGGACAGAAGCAGAAGTGTCCGATTGGAATTTTCTTTTCAAATTCTTAATGGCACCATACTACTAATTCCTTATCTTGTCTGGGAAGTTTTTCTTGTTAATTTAGTTTTAAATCTTGATTGTCTTGCACAATTCTAGTGGAAGCTTGATTTTGGCTGATAAAGAAGAGTAAATACAGAACCAGTTGGGGTTAGATGATAGATCAGATGGTATGATAACCTGAGGTGTAGGTAGTAACTTGCTTTCAATCACGATGTGAATAGAGGGTGGGCCGGTGGGGGGAAGGGTAAATATGGAATTTGGAATTTGATCTCTAAATTAAGGTCATGAAATGATTGCATCTTTGAAGTTATCATCTTTCTTGAAAATTCAGTTTCTGCTCCCTAATCAACAACATGGTTTTTAAGATTAGCTAGACTGAAAATATGTATCTTCTTGACATTTTTTGTTGCTAGTCCATTCTTCATGCTTTTGGCTTCTCTGCATTTAAGTTGCCCGTAATCTGCTTAGAAGTCCCTTTTAGTAATTTTGGGATTCCATTTGCCACTTCCTTATAATGAGTTCAACAACCCTATAAGGGGAGCACTTGAGTGGCCTTATCTGAAATGGTTTACGTTCTTTTGCTCTGTTTTACACTATCGGAATACGAGAGACAATCTTAGTTTTTTTTTTTTTTTTTAAATTTTCTGGGGGTAAATCTAATTAAGTCGTTTATGTTGCATATTCTGCGTACAGGAGTTATTACAAATGCACCAGTGCAGGATGCAATGTGCGTAAGCATGTTGAAAGGGCTTCAACAGACCCCAAGGCTGTCATAACTACCTACGAGGGAAAACATAACCATGATGTTCCTGCTGCTAAGACCAGCAGCCATAACACAGCCACCAGCAATTCAATGCCAGTAAAACCACAGAGAGTGGTGCCTGAAAAACATCCTTTGCTTAAAGATATGGATTTTGGAAATAATGGCCAAAGACCGGTTGCTTTACGCTTGAAAGAGGAGCAAATCATAGTATAGTTTGATGTAGATATGGATTTTGGAAATAATGGCCAAAGACCGGTTGCTTTACGCTTGAAAGAAGAGCAAATCATAGGATAGTCTGATGTCAAGATCAGTTGTGCAACTTTCTGGTTAACTCATCTAGGTTCTCGGTGTGTAACACTTCCCTTATACATCCAAGTTAAGGGATTCTCATTATACCATGTCGTTCACAATCACGTGTGAAGATTACTGCATCTAATATCTCAGCGTGATTATAGTCTATCAGGCTGTTCCTGGTACTGTCTAATCCTCCTTCAAAGTAGAGCACAAAGAAAAATTGGGAAGCTGGATTCGCATCGAAAGTTCACACAATTCTTTGGCTTATTGTTACCTTGTAAACTTTCAAACCTCTTGTAATTTGTTTTTCATAGGATGCTGTTCAGTTCAATGTATTATATTTATATCCTCGTATTTGGTGGTAGTGCATTGTAATGAACAAGAATGTTCCATGTGCTTGCAAATTTTTGAACAGTTGATTTTATAATTTTATGATGTATAGTTATTCAATCTCATTAGAAAAGGAGCTAAATTTGGTTGCAGCAGTTCCGTGGACACATACGTGGTGTAGCTTACCATCAACATTTTTCCTTGCAAGCCGAGAACTCAATTTTAGGTGTTGGATAAATCTCTCGTGATTTTAACATCCTATCTGAACCCTGTTTTTCGTGGATGATTTTCTCTTGGTGCTGGGAGAGGTCATCGAGAGAGAAGAAAAGAATTGGGACTTAGTGATTTACAATGCGCGCGCGCTCGCGTCTGTGTATATTTCCTGTTTTCCAACAGAAATAGATTGGAAGTCTAGAACTATAGGTAGCCGGCAATAGAATGTAATTTATATAAAACAATATTTTTATTAAAATTAAATTGATATAATGAAAAAAAAATTAGTGGAAGAACAATGGTTAAGTTGAATTCAGTAGTAATTCTTTGAATTAAAAGAATTTAATTTATCAACTAAAATTAGCTTAAATGGTAAACTTTCTTATCACTTGAGTAAATAATTGAGAGTTTAAATCTCAACTCGTATATATGTCTTAATTTAATTAAAAAAGATTTATCATTTACTTTCTGTACCTTGTGCTCCTTACGCTATAAAAGAAAAAAGAATTTAATTTACACTTACCTTCAATGTCTTTTATCATTTTACCAAGTAGTGCAACTCATTTTTAAAATTCTAGTTGCAAAATGAAAAATAAAAAATTTAATCTTTGATTGCTTGTTTAAAGGACAAAGTCTTTGTCATTTATGCTAACTCGACTTGGTTGTAATTTTTTTTTTTCAAATAATGTAAAAAAATCCTACATTTTTAATGAAGAAATATTGAAACCAAAAAAGTCAAAAGGTCAAAACTAAGAAGTGTCCGGTTCAATTCAATTCGAATCCTGCAGTTGAAAAGGATGGAGAGTGACGCGCTTTCGAGGAGCTCGCTGGCATGCCACCACGACCACCATGTCTCTCGCCCCTTTGAGTCGATGTCTCTGTTCAACTAACGGAAAACGATAACAGAGCCTCCGAACGGTTACATTACACCTTTTCTTCTCCTTTCTTTTGCAATGCCAAGAAGCCCCGAAATTATGAAGCTATTCCGACCCGCGAATTTCTCTTCCTTTGCTTTCGGATACCATCAACTCTTCGAAGTTGAATATCGTCCATCCCCCGCAGACCTCGCAAGCCTAATTGGGACAGAAGAGGATCGAAGACGAGACAGAAAGGGTTGGGGGGGCAGGGGGGATTCCCAATGTACCCGTTTCTGGGTTTATCTCGTTAGCTATGACGACCATTTTTGGAGGTGGTGCAACCACATTTGAACTCATGTAGGGCTGACGCCCCTACCTTCTTCCATATCCCAAATTGAATCGATCGATCGCGTTTCTCGAGTCTTGGTCGATTCTGGCGGGATTTGGCGGTAAATGGGTTGCATTAACTCCAAAAATTTGGTTGCCGGAGATTCACCCGTGCACTCGAAGGTGCGCACCGACAATGGGTCTGCGATTGTGGAACCTCCGTCGCGATCCCGATCGGGGATGTTAGCTTCTGCCGGTGAAGGGGATCGAAAATCGGAGGATTGCAATCGAGATGGGAAGAAGTCCGGGAAGGATAGCTCCAAAGGAAGTGGGATTTTCAGTTTCAAGATGGGGCTTTCGCATCGGATAGTGGAAGCGGAGCTGAATGCCGCTGGATGGCCCCCTTGGCTCACAGCTGCTGCGGGGGAAGCCATTCATGGATGGGTACCCCTCAGGGCAGATTCTTTTGAGAAATTAGAAAAGGCAGGAAATCTCATATTCATCTCTGTTATTACAAGACTGGTTTTTATTGATATATATATATATATATATAAAGACTGGTTTTTATTCACTCGTGTCTTTTGAAATCTATATAAATGTCCAGATGGATTGAATATTCAGTTGTTAACTTGGCCTATGGCTACTGGTATATGTATAAACTTAGTCTATGGGTACATTGATTGTGTAGAAACTAGGATCTTTGAGATTTAACAATGTGGGTTTAGGCCATTTGGGGCCTACAAAGATAGTCGGCTTGTAAGGAACCTATAATATTATGGAATCCTCAAGATGTAGAATTACTCTCTGATGCCAACATGCAAAACAGGAAACAGTAAAACAGAAAATAAACAAAAAACAAGGGGGAAAAAAAATTACTTGCCAGGAGTATTTTCTTAAGACAGACTTTAGGCCTACTTTTGGGAAAACTAACCATGAAATCCTTATGAAATCTCAATATAAATACCAATAATCTCAATCCCACTAGAATTCTCTGATAGGGTAAGATATCCTTAGGCATTAACACATTTTTTTGATAATCCCGAATGAAATCTTAAATTACCTCAATTGATTACAAATCCCTAACTTCCATGATAACTGTATCATGAATAAAAATGATAGTTATATGTAATGCTGCATTATCTAGTCACTTTAACCTTAAGGATTACTTGTGCTAGAAGGACATCATTATCACTAGTATATGTCTTCAAGGACATACAGGCTTAAACTTCAGTGATTACGTTTCTGCTAAAAGATGGCGGGATTGAATGCAGTTTTCATGAACCAGATGATGACACTAGTCACATTTTAGCCTCTGAGTTTCAGCAAAACAAAAATAGATAGCATGATCTACATAGGGTAGACTTTTTTTTTTTTCATATTTATTTTTTCAACTTTGAAGATGAATTCAACAATAATGAACCGATCCCATGTACAAGTTCACCAATCACCATCAAGGTTATTTTTTCCTGCCAGCAATTTCCCTTCCATTTGTTCTCTCTTCTTTGCTGCAACTTTCAAACTAAAGGAAACACGGTATTGAGCTATTTCAGAATATTAAAGAATTTGTTAGTTTTGATCTGAAAGAATGTTATTCGTTGAAAAGGTTTTGTTAAGTTAACTGTTAAAAATTTCAAATATTTAATGTTACACTTGGCACCTGTGAATGAGCCTGTGACCTTCGTAACAAGCTTGTAAGGAAATTGGTTCGAGCAAGCCAAGCTGTGTCTTCAAATTCTCACCCTAGAAATCATGGTTTTTTTTTTTTTCAATTATTATCATTGCTAGGTCATATTGTCATTATCTGGTCCCCGGATTTCATTTTCTGATCCTTCTTTATAATATATCAATATATATATATATATAGATTGGACAAGGCACATATAGCAGTGTGTTCCGAGCACGTGAAGTTGAAACTGGGAGGATGTTTGCTTTGAAGAAGGTGCGGTTTGACAATTTTCAGCCTGAGAGCGTGAGGTTCATGTCTAGAGAAATTACAATTCTTCGCAGGCTTGATCATCCAAACATCATGAAATTGGAGGGGGTTATTACATCCCGACTATCAAGTAGCATATACCTTGTGTTTGAATATATGGAGCATGATCTTGCAGGACTAGTATCCTGTCCTGATATAACGTTCAGTGATTCACAGGTTTGTTAGTATCTCATTCTCAATAAACTTGTGTCTTTATAAAATGGAACACTGCGTATATCAGAAAAGAAGGCAAAGAAAGAACAACGTTTCTCATGCCTAATGTTGGAAAGAGACTATGTATTCTCGAATCCTTTGACATATTTAAATGTGTTTGAAGGTTTCTCTGACATCTTAATCTTTGTGTGTGGAAATAAATTAATCTGATTTCTAGGTCTCCGACCCAAACATATAGTTAGCACCATAACTGAATATGCAGAAAGCCAAAATCCTCCTAACTTCTTACACTCATTTCCTTGATTTTTTTCTTTGATTATTAATTTTGTTGAAGCATCTGGGGAAAAGTTTTGCTTAGCTCCTTTTAGCGGTTATATTTTGAGTTTTTTTCCCCCTTAATTTTTTACAACAGGTGAAATGTTACATGAGGCAACTGCTGAGTGGACTTGAGCACTGTCACCTACGTGGTATCATCCATCGGGATATTAAAGTATCCAATATATTAGTGAATAATGATGGTATTCTCAAGATAGGCGATTTTGGATTGGCAAATACAATTAGCTCAAGTAACAAGCATCCATTAACCAGTCGTGTAGTGACTCTATGGTACCGCCCTCCTGAACTCTTGATGGGATCAACCAACTATGGAGTATCAGTGGATCTGTGGAGTGTGGGTTGTGTATTTGGGGAACTTTTTCTGGGGAAACCTATCCTCAAGGGGAGAACTGAGGTAATCCTTAGAATAGAATTATTTATTAATCTGATAGCCCAAGCCAATTTACAGGAACTCAGAAGAAGAAAACCATTATTTTTCTATTCAACTATGACTTCTATGAAGTATTAGTTTTATTTTATTTTTTTTCACAATACGATGCATGAAACTTAGCACAATGACCTTTTTTCTTCTATCTTTTGCGGTTGAAAACTCTTGGAAATGGCATTATGTTTAAAAGTTTTTAAGCTGAGGCCACTATGATATAATTTCACGTTTTTGTTCAAACAAAACTCTGCTCAAACTTTGACTGTAGAAGCTTTTGAAGTAGTTCGTTGATAACTTAACAAAACAAAGTGAAAATAAAGAGTGAATGAACTCCTTTACTTAGCTTGAGTTTGTTTCATTATTTTGAGTGGAAAAAACACTTCTTGAACCTTAGAAAACAGGGCCATTTCATGTCAGACCATATATTAAATTAAATCTAAAATTTAAATTTGATAGTTAAATTTGATGTTCGCCTTGAACCTACAGGTTGAACAATTGCACAAAATTTTTAAGCTTTGCGGTTCACCGCCTGATGAATTCTGGAAGAAGTGCAAGCTTCCCCATGCAACAATGTTTAAACCTCAGATTACTTACGAAAGCTCTTTATCGGAGAGGTTTCTGGGTATTCCAGAAACTGCTCTAAACCTAATGCAGACTCTATTATCCGTTGATCCCCGTGAGCGTGGGACTGCCTCTTCTGCCCTGATGTCTGAGGTAGATCCTGCCGAAGTTTGATTTCTACATTGAATTTTCCTTCACTGAGAAGAATTTTTGTTTTGGAGAAGCGTCTTTTTACCTTTTGATTTCATATTATGATATCACTGGAATACGTTGGTTTTCAGATGCTAACTTCTTTGGACTTGCTGCTCCATATGCAGACTTCGAAATTTCTGTTTTGTTAATGTTATTTTATTATGATGTTTGCTCCAGTTTTTGATCAATTGCTTGTAATTAATCTAATTTTCTGATTTCATGTCCCACGTCACACCAATTAACAGTATTTCAGCACCAAGCCATTTGCTTGTGATCCATCAAGCCTGCCAAAATATCCACCCAACAAAGAAATGGATGCTAAAAACCGGGAAGAGGTTCGCAGGTAAATGGTCTCGTCTTTCTAGAAAATTTGTCACGGACATGGCTATTTTTCTATTTCTATTCCCCTCTGCATTTGTCTTTTTTTGTTTTTGTTTTTGTTTTTTTTTTGGACGGTGAAACCGAGCACACGCACTGATCATGTCAAAGCCCAGTAAAAAATGTCTTACAATATAAAGGAAACGTCATCATCCTGTTTCTAGATTCATTACCTGCCTGTTACAGTTATGCTGTTCACTAAACCATTAATTAGGTCCTCCAAGATTGAGTAACTGAAGCAAGCTGTTAAACTAAACTTTAATTGAGCTGGTTATGGCTTCCAATAAAGGGATCTCTGTTATCTCAGGAAAAAGACTGATGGTAAAGCGCGTGAGGCTGCAACATCAAGAAAGCAAAGACGAGTACGTAAAGTTTTACAGGAACCAAACAATTTCAGTAACCCAGTTTCAACTGATGTACTCGATCTTTCTCAGTGCCTAATCCGATATTTCTTGAAGATGATTGCTGCTTTTATTTACTTCTGTGTCCTTATTTATGCAGGAAAAACAGAACAATTCTCAAAAAGTTGTTAAAGATGATGTTAAATCATATCTTCACAAGGGAAAAGGAGAAGCTATGCAGAAGGAGCCATCAAAGCCTTCCATAGAAATAATGTCACAAACCTCACAGATCAATGGCGTGCCTCGTGGCTTCAGTATATTAGCAGGACCAGCACCAGCCTCAGGAGCTAGTGGCTTTGCATGGGCAAAAAGAAGAAAACCAGAGGTTTCATCCACATTATCAGATGGTTCAAAAAGCAAAATCAGCGCACTGGATCCAACTTTTGCAAAAGGCACATATAATTTAACCAGACATGTGATCGATGTCGCAGAAAGAAAATTTAAGGGCAATACAGGCCATCAGACTAAGTCTGGTCAGCCGGAACATATTGATGCATCCGATACATATTCAAATTTATCAACGAATTTTGATTCCATGGAAACACCGGATAGTGTGACGGATACTCAGGTAATTTTGAAACCTCAGAAAACAGCAAACAAATTCTTACAGTTGCAAACCCTCTGTTGTCCTGTTTGTATCAGGTTACATTTTAATTTCTTCTTACAAATATTTTGCAGGGCCACGAAAAGCTTGGCCATGAAAGTACATGCCCTGCAGCTGGCAAATCAAGGTTAGGAAGGTAAAGAAACACTTTAGGATCCATCTTATCCTTGCATGATTTGTTGGTTCTTGTATCTAAAGGGGTTTATTTCATGGAGACATCGTTCTCAAATTTTAATTGTAAGTTTTGTATTTGAATTAGTAGGTTTAAAAAATAGTGCTTTGGGCATTACTTATTCTTTTGAGATGGCCAAGGACGAGGACCAGTGAAACAATAAATTTCCCCTCCCGCCAACCAGTTGCTTCATGCAAAGATGAGTGCTCATTATAAATCAATGCGTTTTGCAGATAAATGATCACATTTCTAGGAGAGTAGTCACGCGTGCTTTGCCCCACATTAGAGCCATTGATGGACTCGCTCGCTCAGGGTCATCTGAACCATTGTAACGTCTGATATAGGCTCTCCCCGACCCTATTCAGTCAAAGGAGTCTACTGTTTTAACATCAGTTTATATTAGAGGAGCAACCCTGACATGTAAATTGCCCTTTTCCAAGATGGTGTAATTTAAGAAAGAAGGGCTTACTTTTTAGTTTAGGATCGTTGATTCTCTTGCCTACCTAATCTCTATTCCTCACCCTCAGCCGAGCAGGTTAACGAGTTTAGTGATTATGCCAAAGACATACTATGTCAATGCTTCATGGATATCTCGTTAAGGTACTGTCAACACTGTCATGGAAATGAAGAAAAATAAAAAACTACCATTTCAGTTGGTGTAACGGCTTCCTAAATTACCAGGAAAAGAAGCTGAAGAAGTATATTTCCCTATTTCGGAGGCCGTTCACTTCAACTTTATTTATTTTTGTGACCTAATAATTGTTGTTCGTTCGCAAATCAAGTTGAAACTAGAAAAAGGAAACAAGATTATCACCTCAATTTTGCGTATTCGGGTATCAGACTTGTAATTTCCAATTCATACTAATCTATGGAAACGTAATTCCCATTTCAATGACACATCACTTCATTGCCACGCTATTAAAATTTACTTGTAATTCTAAGCATACGTTTGTCATGTCAAAGAATTGGGGGCTGGGGGGTTTAAAATTTTTTATAACCTGACCAATACGTCCTCCATAATAAATTTAAAAAATATAAATATTTTTTTAATATCTTAACACTAATAAAATAAAAATAAAATTATTTATATATAATTATTTTCCTTGCCCAACCAAACAAGTAACATCAAACCCCGAACCAAACTAATCTTGAAATACATAATCTGACTTCATTTTTTGCGTACTGGTTGTTTCAACTCCCCCCCCCTTCAAAAACAGATCTAGGGTTTAAACAAGAAATACAGAATACAATACACGGGAATCAAGCAAGACCTGAAAGCCGAAAGTTTTCCCGGAAAAACAAAGAAAAGTGAAAGTGAAAATGGTTAACGGAGAGAGTGAAACAAAAATGAGAAGCGATAAGAGAAAGAGGCGATGTAGGGCAAACACCTCGCTTGAACTGCTATGAACTAGAGCAGAAAAGCGGCCATGAAGCCCCTTCATAGAAATGAATTGATATGCGCCCACGCACCGCAATAGGGTGCGCCACACAGAATACCCTCTCTCGTGGAATACCACGCCACCCCTTCCTCAAGAGGGAAGCGCTCGGCCTTAGGCGCCCTGTTTACTCATTCTCTTCTACCTCGCCCATTTATACCTCTTCCCTCAAACCCTACTTCTCCTTTTGGGCCCTTCAATACTTTTTTTGGGAATTGTGGTTCCTTCCCAAGCTATTTTTTTTATGTTAGTACGTTTGTTGAATAAAATTAGAATCGGTGATTTAAATTAAGTTTGATGATTTAACTTAAATTCACTTAAAAAAATTTTGAATCTAACTAAAAAATAATATTTTTTATATTTAAACTTATTTAAGTTAATATTTTTTATATTTAGATTTATTTGAATTAGCCTAAATAAATCTAAAAAATTTGACCCAAACCTAAATAATTAAATAAAAAATAAAATTTTATATTAAAATGTCATATATTTGAGTAATTTATTATAAAATTTTTTTAAAATATAAAAATATTTTATATTTTTATTATTTATAATCTACAAAATATTTTAAAATAATATTTAAAATATATTTCAATATTAATTTTTATATTTTCAACTCATTTTTTTTAAAAAATTGAATTTTATATATCATTTGAGTATCAAAAAAATATATTTTATATTTTCTATAAAATAAGATAATTAATTTTAAAATAAAAATTAAATTAAAAATAATTTTAAAAATAAAAATTTGGGTGTAAAAATTTCTGACTGAATAAACATAATAAATAAAAAAATATTTTTAAATAATTATTTTGCTATCATTCACGTCAGATTTAATTAAAAATTAAGAAAAAATTAGAGTAAATATCCTTTATATATAGGGTTAAATAATATAAAAAATTAAAAAATAATTTTTTAAAAAATAGTATTTTACTCATGATTAAATAATTTTATTTTATATAATGTAATGATGATTATTTTTTTTATATTTTTAAAAATAAAAAGTACAGTTTATCTAAACGTTATTAAAAACTTAAAAAAATGATAATAAAATCTTTTCAAAATATACACAATGACAATTTGGTCCTTTAAAATATTATAATTTTTTAAAGTCCTTCGAACTTTTTTATCATTAATGAATTTATATAAATTATCAAATTATCTTTATTAAAAACAAATAATTCATAATTTTTATTTAAATATTCATAACTTTTCTTCTTATATTTGCAATGATGCAATAGTAAATAAGAAATTAACATGTAAATTTATGATTTGCTATTACATTGTTATAAATATAAGAAGAAAAGTTGTAAATATTTAAACAAAATTTGTTAATCATTTATTTTCAACAAGAGTGATTTGGTAATTTATATAAATTCATTAATGATAAAAAAGTCTCTAAAAACTTTAAAAAAATTATGACATTTTAAGAGATCAAATTATCATTTATACATTTTAGAGGAATTTTATTTTTATTTTTCCTAAAAATTTTGAACTAAATGGGGCAATAATTTTAAATTAGTGATATAATTGTGATTGAATTGAGATTAACTTGACCATAATTAAAATAATATAATTTAATTAAAATATATAAAATATTTATATATAATAATGATAAAAGCAATATTTAAACAACTAAGACATTAATTTATGAGTAAAGAAAATATTTGTAATAAATTACATTTAATATAACAAAATTTTTAAAAAGTATAAAGTTAATAAGTTATTATTTTTTATTTTATTATTTTAAAATTTAAATAATATTTTATATTTAATAGATTTATTTAAAAAATAAATTTGATTCAAAAAATACAAAAAAAATATTTTTAAGAAGTTTTATATATTCAGGTCGACTTGAATAAGCCTAAAATCCAAAAGTATTAGGATCGAACTTAGTCATATTGGCTTTTTAAAAAGGATAAGATACTTTAAGAATGATCCAAATTGAGCTCGACCTGAATAAGTTCGATCAGTTTGAATTATTAGCTCTAAATAAAATTGATTTTACTTGAAAAATGATAATTAAGTTGATAAAAAATTAATATAAATTTAGGAGTAGGCTTATTGTTTGAAAAAACCGAAAAAACTTATTGGGGTTATATCATTGATCAACCAGGCAATCCAAGGAGATATTTTAACTATTTTAATAAAATAAAAAATATAATTAAATTATTGGAGTAGTTTAATTTATTTGGAAAAATATATTCCTCATGAATGCATCTTCTTTAAAAATAATTTTTCTTTTATATATAACAATAATAATGATAATAATAATTTTTTACTCACATTTATTGAAAATTGTAAAATAGCAAAGTGAAAAAAAAGTAATCAATAATTTATATATAAAGTTATTTATAAAAAGAAATATATTTCTAGAATATAACTTATATATATATAATGGGAAGATTAAACCATAAGCAAATTTCATGCGTGACATAATTTCCGTCTATATCATCATTTGACCATGCAAAGGTGTAACCGGAGTAAGCAAGGGGAGATGTGTCTCCTTTTCTCTTACTCTTCATTTCCCTCCTCTTCCTCTCATTACGATTAGGTAAAAGCTCATAAATGGTTAATATTTAGTATTTGATAAATTATATTATAATTTCATATAAATATATAAATAAAATATTATAATTTTAAAATTTTTACATCAGATTTAATAGTTTAAATTTATTTATATATTTTTCTGGTTAAATGACAATTTAAACTTTAAATTATATGTCTAATAATAGGATGATATGAGTCTCAAGAAAAGGGGATTAAATCTCATATCCTTAAAACACATCCATACCTCGACATTACTTTTGAAATCACAGATCGTGAAACCCTAGCCTCTTAAACTCAAACACTGATGATGGTGAAGAGTTTATGGATAGTTTTGGATAACAAAAAACCCAATCCAACTTCTATAACTCCAAATGCCAATGGATAACAATATTGGATGCATCCATTTAAAATACAAAATCCACTAGATAAAAGAAGAGGACATTAAAGGTCGTATTCATGTAAACCCTAACCTAATAAACAATTAAAGAAGTGGAATAAAACCTCTAAACACCTACATCAAAAACATTAAATGACAGGAAGCTCATCATCTTTACCTTTTAAGTGAGGTTTCTCCAAATTATGGGAAGATGTGGGCGAAGATTCCTCAGTGTGGAGAGAAGGTAATAGGTTCTCACCTTTAATAACCAAACCAAGGGAGATGTTCAGATTCACTATGTCAAGTAGGTTTGCATAATGAACCTAGTGGTCTAAAAATTGGTTCCAACCATGATTGTGGGAATGGCCACTTTTGATTTCAAAGGGAACCCCACTGGAGGAAGATGAAGAAGGAGGAGTAAGAGTGTAGGAGAATGGCTTTTGGGTTCTGGCGATTTGATACTGATGAAGAAGGCAACTTGAGCAAGGCCCTCGTGGGTGATAGAGGGGATGCATGAGGAACAAAGAGGTACACGGGATGTTATGGTGGTGATGGAAAGGAGGATGAGGAGGAGAGGGAGAGGGCATGTATAAAGCTCACCTCACTTTCTCCACACATAACCAGACAATCAAAACAAATAAAGACAAAATAGGAGAATTGAACTCTTAATTATACCTTAAATCGAGAAGGTTAACTTAAAGTTTTGAAAATCATTCAACACTCATTAGGGATCCCATAACTTCAAAATATATAGTTTGAGCTCAAACTAAAAGTTAATTTTAAGTGAAGAAAGCATGGAAAGATAATATTTCATATACGAAAGCCAATAAAATTAGAAAAATAATTCAATCCAGACTAGCCAACATATCATGGTGCACGGCATGTGGCATAGATAGCATTTGCCTCCCTTTGTGCCATGCGCAGTGGCACACAGCCACTTTCATGACAATAAAGTTGTTGTCATGGCAGTTCATAGACTCAAGCTTTTGTTGTGCACTATTTTAATAACTGAAGTTCGATTGGAGTAATTCAAGTGCTCATACGAAGCTTATTTGATAATCTAGCAAATGGCATAAGTTTGATTTTGATTTAATGGTTCATTTAAAAATTTGACACTTAGATGCTCAAAGCCAATATTAAAATAGTTTTCAAGCACCCAAATACCCAAAACCCTAATCTTATGCCTTTAACAAATTTTAGGCCTTAAATTAAATTCAAAAAGACATTATACAACTAATAAAACATATAAGCTTGTAAAAGACACGTTTAAACTAAGATTTTGCCACTAAAGGTGCCAATTTTACATGAAGCTGGGTCATTTACAATAAAATGACAAATAACCACAATTT